CTCTACGGAAGTAGATAGCCCAACCTTCCTTCCGAGGAGTGGCTGATGGGTTTGAACCACCAGCCTTCTGGTTAGCAGTCAAATGACTTAGGCATTACACCACCAGAGCTCCTAATGTCATGGGGGGGGGGGCGCGGGAAATGTATGAACTGTTATGTGGAAAATGAATTTGCTCTGTAAACTTTCACCCAAATTACAATAAATAAATAAAGCTTGCAAGTGGCCTATCCAAGGCACAAAAATTGGTATCTATGCATCTGAAACAACAAAAGAAGAAGAAAAAGAAAGAAGAGGAGGGAGGATATGGAATGTGTGGCTCATTGAAAAGCTGTCTCCTTTGCCATGAGAACAGAAGAACTGAATGGGGCCTGGCTACCATTACTGAACATTTTGATGAAAGATTCTATAGAAGAATCTTGACCAAAAGGGGGAAAATGCAAAATCAAATTTTAAATTTTCAGGGGCTCCAGACTCTGGAGGCATAGGGGCTAGATTAACCCCTGAAACTACTGCCCTGAGATAATCTTTAAAATTCAAACCAAAAATATCCCTAAGTCTTCTTTAAACCAAACATTAGTTTAGCTGAACTAGTGATAAATGTCTGCTTTGAGGATTATGTTCTTTTAAGATCTACCTATAGGGGACTGAACTGACAATAGCAACTCAAAAGATTAGATAAGAGGGGGCAGTGAGTTTATGTTAATGGGGAAGGAATGACTCAGAAAAGGAGGGTGAGAATGGTTGAACTAAAAAAATGTAACCAATAACACTGAATTGTACATGTAGAAATGGTTGAATTTGTGTATTTTTGCTGTGTATATTCTCAACAACAAAATATATAAAAGAAAGAAAGCATGCCTGCTGTAGGTTAGAGTTCTTTTTGTTTGATTGGAATCTAGGAAAAAAAGTAGGAGGAGAAAACTTTCTTTTTAATTTATGCCCTCTTCTTGACACCAGTTTCAGGCCAGTTAGAAGACTGAACTTTCTGAAAGCGGTTGATTATTGCCAATGACCTTGAAATGTATTTCCTTTTCCCAAGCTAATTTTAAAGAACTTGCAAAACCAGTCAGTTCACTATGGTCAGCTCTATACTTATTGACAAGGACCTCTGGGTGGCATAGTGCTTAAGGCATTTGACTGCTAACCAGAAGGTTGACAGCTCAAACCCACCAGCCACTCTGCAGAAGAAAGACTGGGTAATCTACTTCCATAAAGATTTACTGCCTCAGAAACCCAAAGGGGGTCACTATGAATCAGAATCGACTTGATGGCAGTGAGTTTGGTTTTTTCTTTTATACTTATTGATAGCTTACCAGTCTTCTATCCTTATGTCTTAATTCCTAGTTTAGAGAGAGAAAAACTAAATCAGTTGTTTGTTTTTTAAAAACTTTTCTTTAGTATGGAGTAATACATGTTCCTTTCAGAAAAAAATAGGACAGATAGATAAGTCAAAAAGAAAACTTCATCACTCAGAGGTAATGACTATTAACATTTTTCAAACTTTTAAAAATGACTAAATACACACATATACTCACATTTACATATGTGCATTTATAAACTCAAACTCACTGCCGTTGAGTTGGATCCAACTCATAGTGACCCCTCCTTGGTTTTCCGAGGCAGTATCACTATGGAAGTAGTTTGCCCAACTTTCCTTCTGAGGAGTGGCTGGTGGGTTTGAACCGCCAGCCTTCTAGTTAGCAGTCAAGTGCCTTAGGCACTACACTACCAGAGCACTTATGAAGCAAAATTTAAAAAATGGAAGAAGGGAACACACTGTATATTGCTTGCAGTCTTTACTGACATCACATTATATTCTGAACATCTCTCCAGGATCAGAGTTTTGACATAAACAAAAATTAAAAGAATAGGTGATTGCAGGCTCCATGTTTCCTAAAGTAATTGACCAGGGAAGTGAAAGTGCTTTTGTGTGTTCCTACTATACTGTTTGAGAACCAATGAGGAATGAACTTGATATGGCTGCTAAGAAAGAGCCACTAGAGGTTCTTAATCAACACAATGACAGAACAGGACTGTAGGAAGAGTCGGTTAATAGTAAGAGCAAGACTCAGACAGATGGGGCGGCTGCTAAGAGTAGCTTAGGCTGAAGAGACACATGTGCAGTACTAGACGAGCTGGCATCCTGACCCTCCATTGTCTGATCGCACCCCTTCTCTCTCACACATTCAATCTCTGGTCTTTCTGTTCACCTAACTGTCCCCCTTCTTCCTCTGTGGCTCTGTCTGGAATGTCCTCATCTGTTGCATCTGTCTATCCATCTTTCACTTCACCTTCTCTACAAAGCTTTCCCTGTTTGTTTCTATCTTCTTTGCTGAATTCTAAGTTAGTACTTGATTATAGCAATTCTCCCACTGTCTCTTTTGACAGTGATGTGTCTTTAAAAATGCCTAGAGTTCACTTTTCATCTTGATAGTCCACTCATTCATCCATTTCCCAGCAGGTCTCAGGAAAACAAACTTTAGTAGAATTTTCATTGATTCCAGATGCAAAGGGCCATCTAGTGGCAGAAAAGGGAAAGGTATCTTTGTAAGTACAGGCAGTCCCCCTGGTTACCATCTGAGATCTGTTCCTAAATGTGTCTTTAAGTCGAATTTGTAGGTAAGTCGGAACAGGTGCATGCAGTTCTTATTTATCCTTACTTGAGTCTAAGAAAAGGCTGGGAGACTTTTCAATGATTTAAAAGCTGCACACGCAGCAAGTGAAAATGATTGTAATGAATTTGTGAGCAGGGGTTGGTTCAAAGAGTCCTGGTAGAGCACTGGATAAAACACTCAGCTGCTAACCAGAAGGTCAGTGGTTCAAATCCACCAGCTACTCCATCAGAGAAATGTAGCAGTTTGCTTCCATAAAGATTTACAGTGTTGGAAACTCTGTGGGGGCAGTTCTACTCTGCCCTATATAGTATTGCTATGAGTTGGAACAGACTCCATGACAGTGGGTTTGGTTTGGGTTTAAGGAGTTGGTTCAATTGTTTCAAAGTGAGGACAAACTTACATAACTTTAAAAGGCAAGTAGGAGCTGTCCAGACATTCCTAACCCAGGGACTGCCTGTATACAGTAAACTCTTCCAGCTATAACAACAGCAACTGCAGAAGGGATAGCTTTTATTTGTTTGTTTTTGTCTTTACAGTTCTCCTTTGTGATGCAGTTTCTGGATTACAAAATGCACTGCAATAAAAATCAGAGAATGCCTGTGGAAATGGTTTTGTCTTGCTTTCTAGTTATTCTACTGATCTACATGCTAGTAAGTTCCTCAGTGAGTATTTAAATAGCATTTGTTGAATATCTAGCAATACTATGCTTACAGCCCTGGGGTCTAGTGTGATGAGTTCTAGTTTTGTAAGAGTCAACTAATCAAATAAGGCAGCATTTCTCCAAGTGTGCCATGGAAAACTAGTCCCTGAAGAGGGCTTGGAGGAAAAAAAAAGGTGTGTGTGTGGGGGGGGGGGGGGAAGAGGAGGGTTTCCTGGCCAAACTGATTTGCAAAACCCTGCATACTATGACTTTAGCATAGATATTTCCATTGCAATTAGCACACTGGGTGATATGAGAAGTCCTAAACAAGAGAATTTGCTTAATTCAGCTTAACCCAATGTTTACCAAAGTTACCTGACCATAAAACCCTGTTAAAGTAACCCTATTAACATTCTGCAGAACAAGTATTCCAGGGTACACACTTAAGAAAATACTGCCTTGAGGTATTTCAGCTCAGGGTTTTAGAGATCGAACAGAGATTGCATCAAAAGTAGAAGTGAAATAGGCTAAATCCTCATTCCAGCTGCTTTAAATCCTTTGCTAGACCTGGCTGGGTATTAAAAAAGACGAAAACCCAAATTCTACCTTCTTGAAAGTGAAAACAGTAAGCAACCCATACATGCTTCCTTTGTGTCAGGCACTATTCTAAGCATGTCATGTATTTAATCCTCATAATAGTACCTACCTGATAGGGTCCTTACCTCATTTTACAGCAGAGCGAACTGATACGCAAAGAAAATAAAACAACTTGCCCAAGGTCACAGGTTAGCAAAGTGTGGAGTGGGCATTTGAACCAAGGCTGTCTGGCTCCTGGTTCTGTTCTTATCCTGGGAGTCCTGGCAATTACATTAAACCCCTTGTCATAGCACAGACACTTGGCACTTCCTCATCCGCAGCCCTCAGAACTGCTTTCCTTAGGTGAATGGTGAGCAGTGTGGAGTAACCCATCACCCACATGCAGCCTGCCTAGCTAGTGAATTTCAGGAACACTCTCATATCCCAGATGGGGAAAAGAGAGCCACAGAGGCAAGTCAGCCCTGCTATGCTCAGGCTCTGACTTCCACCTCACTGCTGCATGTAGATCCAGAGATGATTGCGATCGAAGACTGGTCTACCTGCTAGCAAGGGGAGAGGAGCGCTCATTTCTCTGGTCTGAGATGGGTGGTGCTATACAAAGAAGGAGTCATCTCTCACAAAGTTTAAAGCCCGAACACCAGAAAGAGGCCTGACTGATGAAACCACATGCTTTAAAGTAAGTGGATTAAGTGTTTACTATGGGGGAAAAAACATCTCATTTACTATGGGGGAAAAAACATCTCATTTTTAGAGCTCTGATATGAAGGCACTGTGAGCGGGCTGCATTCATAACTTAAGTCAAGAGATTGCTCAAAAACAACGTTTGTTCAAACCGTGCGGCACAATTATTGGTTCCTAAAACTAATGCATCTGAAATTCTGGCAAAAAAAAAAAAACAACCCAAATCCTTCAGTGGCTTCAATAATAAAAGAATACTTAAGTACCACTGCAGGAATTTCATTTCCTGACTTTAAAAAGCCATCATAAAAGCAAAACAAAACAAAACAAAAATACCCTCAAGAAATATGGCCAATGTGCATTTTATTCTTCTGAGGTGACCCTCAAGCAAAAAAAAAAAAAAAAAGATCTTCAATATTAAAGTAGAGGAATAAAGACCCTGGAAGGTTTTGGAGTGAGGCAGGCCTGGAAAGTGCTCCCACTAGGAGCCAGGCCACCTCCAGCGTGTCCCTTAGCTTCTCTAGGCCTCAGTTTCTTCCAATGGAAAATGGGGACCCCGATAAGCAAATCAAACCCACTGCCATCCAGTCGATCCTCACTCATAGTGTCCCTATAGGATAGAGCAGAAGTGCCCCATAGGGTTTCCAAGGCTGTAAATCTTTACAGAAGCAGACTGCCAAATCTTTGCCCTTGTTGTGGCTGGTGGATTTGAACCACTGACCTTTTGGTTAGTAGCCAAATGCTTTAACCATTGTGCCACCAGGGCTCCTTGGGGACCTCAATATCTACCTTAAAATTTTAAAAAATATTTTCCTCAAGAACTCTAGAACGTCGCTCCCCTATAGAAGGCAATGGGTTTATTTGAAACAACCACTCCTGGCATGGTTAAGAGAAACCAAGATGGACTCTCAGTTCCCTCTCAGCTTCACCTTATCCTCCCTACTTATTTCCTTCCTATCCCCCCAGGATTAGGGTTACTGGACTGTCAAATTTGACTTTTAGTTACAGTAGCTCTCTTATTTCAATAATAGCTGCTACATTTATTGGAGGAAGAGACACTTATTCAGCCTTCTGGGGAAATGCCAGCCGCTGGATGGTGGCTCTTGCTCTGTCTCCAGATTTCTCCACCTCAGCACTCTTGACATTTCAGCCAAATAATTCTGTGTGGAGAGCTGTCTCGGGCACTGCAGGACGTTTAGCAGCATCCCTGGCCTCCACCCACTAGATGCCAGTTGTGACAGCCACAAATGTCTCCAGACATTGCCAAATGTCCCCTGAGGGGCAAAATCATCCCCTCCCCTCTTGCTGCAGAACCATTACTCTAACTCAAAAGTTTTTAAGCCTTAACCCTGAAACCTCACTATCTTCTTCCTGGCTGAATAATGAAAAGAAAGAAACAAAAAAATCTAAAGGAGATAATGCCCTTTGGACACATTGTGGATCAACTCTCTTCCTCTCACAAAGTCCCACATATCAGCAGCCTTTATTTTAAGTGTTTGGGTGTTTTTTAAAGGGGTTGGGGTTAAAGGCAAATGCTTCCCATTGTCTCTCCATGACAGCTATTGAATGGCTATTACAAGGAAAAGAGAGTAGGATGCATGTTTTCTTTTCAAGAAAGGAAAACTGAAGAACAAGAAATGTATCTACATCCATATAGTCAGCACAAGCTTTGGTGGTGCACTGGTTAAAGCACATAGCTGCTAACCAAAAGTAGATGATTCAAACCCTCTGGCTGCTCTGCAGGAGAAAGATAAGCAATTTGCTTCTGTAAAGATCCACCCCCTTGGAAACCGAATGGGGCAGTTCTACTCTGTCCTACAGGGTTGGTATCAACTGGAATCAACTCGATGGCAGTGAGTTTGGTTTGGTTTTGGATACAGCCAGCAGAGTGCTGGGTGGTGCAAATGGTTAATGCACTCAACTGCTAAGCAAAAGGCTAGCAGCTGAGTCTACCCAGAGGGGCCTCAGAAGAAAGGCCTGGCAATCTAGACGCAAAAACTAACCATTGAAAACCCTCTGGAGCACAGTTCTACTCTGACACACACAGGGTCGCCTATGAGACAATCAATTTGATGGTAACTGGTATCTGGCCAGCAGTGGCACCTCAGGAAACCTCATTTCAAAGACTTACGTCCTCTTCTAATCAGGACAGAAAAGTATCTCATATATTGCATAGTCTGTCAATAAAGCTTTCAGATGCATACTGCAGAAAAGATCCATGTAAATGAGACAATAGAAGCACATGTCTAGAAAAGCAGAGGGCAGAGAAAGACAGGAATCATCTCTGTATATATTTGTAATGTAACATACCCTTCTTGTGTTAAGTAATGCAAAATCAAAATGAGAAGATTCTTCCGTCGTGCCTCTGTCCTCATCTCACACTGCGAACAAAGAAAAATTTAGATGGGATGACAATGAGATATTATTTTATATATATTTATACACATAAGAGCTCTGGTAGTGTAGTGTCTAAGGCACTTGACTGCTAACCAGAAGGCTGGCGGTTCAAACCCATCAGCCACTCCTCGGAAGGAAGGTTGGCCAATCTACTTCTGTAGTGATACTGCCTTGGAAACCCAAGGAGGGGTCGCTATGAGTCGGGTCCAATTCAACAGCACACAACAACAACAAATACATATATATATGTATTTTATATATATATATATATATATATATATATATATATATATATATATATATATATATCAACAAACCCTTGAAGGTAAATGTAACCTGTCAAAACCAATCAGCATGACTTAAAGGCTACAAAACAGTTTCAAGTCTCTAAGGGTAGATAAAATTGTTTTCCATTGTTATTTTCTTTTTAAAGCTCCCTTCTCAATTGTAAACTTAAGGTACAGTGATTTAAATTAGGATTGTACTTTATTAGTTGAACTTCTTACTGCCAAGCTAATTGGGCTTTTATTGCTTATAATCACGAGGAAATAAATATACACACTCCTGTTATTTGGACCAGGTTAAGGAAAGTGACTATAAAGATAAAATCATGAGTCAGAAATCAGCTCTGACATCAGAGGCACTTACACGCTGCTACTTCTTTAATTCACTGCAAGCCCCACCCAGTCCCTGCAAGAACATGGAGATGGGTTCCAATAAATTCAGGGCTGACTACACAGCCAAGATTTTATAATATCCATTGGGAGCAGCAGAGGCCATACAAGGAATATTCCTGCATAATAAGACCCTTATTCAAACTGGATGAATTTGTACATTTATTCACAGTGTTAATATGTAGCTACATTTAGTTACCTGCTATCTCAAATTCCCCTGAAATGGATTCATAAAATACTTACTTTCAGTAGTACTATCCTTATCTGGAAATAACTTACCAAACATTTTTACCTAATTAGAGCACAGGTAAGAATTGGATAATTTGATAAAAGCAAAAAAAAAAAGAAAAAGAAAAAAGAAACTCCTCGTTGGCTCAAATTACGTCATAAAATCTATGCACAAACACTCACACTCCTAACACATTTGAAAGCTTTCAGGCATCCACCTAGAACTTTCTAAAAATTAATGTTATAAAAAAAATTAAAACACACATATAAGCCACCCACTGCTATCCAGTTGATTCCAACTCATAGTGATCTTAACATACATATATGTAAAATCAAATAGTACAAGTTTTTAAAGGAAAACAGGTCTCCTTCCCCGCCCCACCCCATCTCCCACTCTCATTTCCTAGAGAAAACAACCTTAACTGTTTTAGCTATTTCTGCTGATACTCTCCTTCATGTTTCTGAACAGCGCATCACTGTTTCAGGATGTACAAATGTTTGACATTGACTACTCATTTCCCACTAAGGTAGATGATAATTAAGCTCTCTTTTGCCCTTCTCATCCTCCCCTCCCCTTAGAGTTACAGCAATTATACTGGTGATTATATTATTGAGATCATGTAAAGACTGTCACTGCTGAGCCAAAAGTGTACTACGATTACCTTTCCATTTCTATACAACATTTGTTTTTCTTGGAATGAAAAAACGCCCTCATTTTTAAATTTGCTTACTTTTTACATACATACTGCTAATTTTCAAACACCAACATATTTTGAAAGCCCTCTCATATCACTTTGCACACCATCAAATACATCAGATCACGTGCCAGTTACACTTTTTCCCCTGACGGCCTTCCCTGTGTAGCCTGCACCCTCCCACTCCAGTCTGGATTCCATTGTCATATATCTTTCAGCGTTTCTATTGAAAAGTCCAATGCCATTCTGATTCCTGATGCTGCATTTGTTTTTTCCTTCCCAGGAAGTTTTTAGGATCTTATTTTTAACTCTTGTTGTTGTTGTTGTTGTTATGTGCCATCAAGTCGGACCCGACTCATAGCGAACCCTCCTTGGGCTTCCGAGGTAGTATCACTATGGAAGTAGATTGCCCCATCTTCCTCCCAAGGAGTGGCTGGTGGGTTTGAACTGCCAGCCTTCTGGTTAGCAGTCAAGTGCCTTAGGCACTATGCTACCAGAGCTTCCTATTTTTAACTCTACAGTGTTCTGAAATTATACAAATTCCTTGGTGCAGTTCTTTTTCCATTCACTGTGCTGGCATTGTCAAACTAAACATTCCTATGCTTCTGTTCTTGGAACTCTCCTTTCATTAATAAATTATTTCCCTATGTTTTCTCTCATTTATTTTAAAGAACTCCAATTTTAATGAATAGACAGTATCTAGCTTGATCCTTTAAGATTTTTTTGCCTATAGGGTTATACAGTTTCTTTCTTTTTCTATTTTCTGAGCCAATTTCCTAGCCCTGTCTTTGAACCATTCTACAGAATATATTTAGAAATTTTTAATTTCTAAGACATTGGTCTTAGTCTCTGATTGTTCCTTTTTTACAACATCCTGTTCTTGCTTTTTCCGTGAAAAACAATGAATGTTTTAGATGCTTTGTGGCTATATTATGATCCAAAGAGGTTCATTTATGTTCAATACTTGCATGTAAGTTAGCACTTAGATAGCAAATTACTTTAAATATATATCCATCCAAATTGATTCAGATACAAAGTTTTGTTGCTTAAGGCAGTCTGCCTTCACTCAGCTTGCTAGAGAACAACAAATACAGCAGTGTGTGTTCCAAAGTGCTGGTGAAGGTCGGTCCAGAAGCTGTTCCTGACCAGGACCCTGGATGGGAATACCAACTAGACACCCAATCTGGGCAGAGTGGCCGCACTCGTAGGGACAAAATGCTCCAGTGCCTCCTAGTGGGCCTACAGGCTATTTCACACAAAGCTGTTAACTTCAATAAACCACAGGAGATTACTCAACTCCCTTGCGGCGGTCACTCTTCAGAACAGGAGAGGATTAGACTTACTAACAGCAGAAAAGGGAGGTCCTTGCCTATTTCTGGGAGAAGAATGTTGTTTATATATAAATCAGTCAGGTATAGTACAAGATACAGCCAAAAGACTCATCGAGAGGGCAACTAATATAGATCAACGTCTATCCACTAACAATGGTCCACTTTTTTCTTCCCTCTTTTTGGACTCCCTACCCTGGCTCCTACCATTCTTGGGCCCCCTAATCTCTTGGGGACCCTAATCTCCATTGTGTTGATTGCTACCATTGCCCCCTGTGCTCTGTTTCATTCAATCACAGGTCCGTCAGATATCTACCCAAATTTCGCAACAGACAGCAAACCAAATGATCCTTCAAGCCAAAGACCTGGAAGAGATTCCCTTGCACTCATGGAGACCACCCGACTAACAAGACACCTTGGCCACTGAGGCTCCACTGTTTCCCTGTTCTCACTTCCCTCCCCTAATCGTTTCAACCCAGCCTGTCTTACAGGTCCCAGAATACCAGATGCCAAACCTGTCCCACTGACCCCTGGGAGTCGACACCCTTAGAAGCTGCTTCTTCCAGGACCTCTACATACTACAAATCACCAACCAGGCAAAACAACACAGCATCTCTGAAGTTGAAGCAAAAGAAAACTGGTTTTGGCACTACAAGAGACAAACTCATGCATGGATAGACAGAAGGCCCCACTTCCAAAGATGCCGCACCCCCCACCAGCAGGAAACAGCTCCAGAAGATTGACTTTTGCCCCTTTTCCCACAAAAGTGGGCCCTTCTTTTTTTCCTTTTAAAAAACCAAAGAGGGGGGGAATGTTAGAGATATGCCACGCCATCTTGCGTGGCTCTTCCGGGTTCTTCTTCTTTTCCTGCTGCCCCACCCAAGGTCATAAGTCAGTTAAAGGAAGTCGAAACTGAGCTTCCTGCAAGGCGCAAATTTTAAAAGGCAACATAGCCTCTGATATGTTAAAGACCTCTTCCCCCAGCTCTGATGTACAACCTCCTAACCCCAGGTCTATATAAGACCACCCTCTCCCCTGTTCTTCCTCTCTTCTTCTCTTCTTCCTCTTTCTTTCTTGTTCTCTTCTTCCTCTTCTCCTCTTCTTCCTCTTCTTCCTCCTCCTCTTCTTCTTCTGTCCTTCCTCAGTGCAGGCGCCCTTTCGCCTCTTTAATAAAATCTCTTGTCGGGTGAAAAAAAAAAAAAAAGACAAAGTGCTTGTGAAGGAAGGAGAGCAAGCACGCACTTGTTCAGCGAAAATTTATTCTGCTCTCTGCCATTGAAAAGGTAGTGTTTGCTTTGAATTTAGTCTACAATAAATAAAAATTAGGGTCCTCATAAATCCAAATTTATGGCATAAATAGACTATCAAACATAACCCAGAATGCGCAGGAGGTTGAAGAGAAGCTAGATGACTGAGACCTTTTAAAAATTAAATTCTTATGAACAACAAAAGACTTCATCAAAAGGGTAAAAAAAAGAACCTACAGATTGGGAGAAAATATTTGCCTATGACATATCTGACAAAGGACTTATCTCCAAAATCTGTAGAAAACTTCAACACTTCAACACCAAAAACAAACAATCTGATTCAAAAATGGCAAGAAACTTGCACAGACACTACATTAAAGATGATATGCTGATGGCCAACAAACACATGAGGAATTGCTCACGATCTTTAGTCAGTTGTTGTTGTTGTTGTTAGGTGCCGTCGAGTCATTTCTGACTCATAGCGACCCCATGCACAGCAGAACGAAACACTGCCTGATCCCGCACCAGCTTCATGATCCTTGCTATACTTGAGCCCATTGTCGCAGCCACCATGTCAATCCATCTTGTCAAAGGTCTTCTCCTCTTTCATCAACCCTCCACCGTACCAAGCATGACATCCTTCTCCAGGGAATAGTCCCTTCTGATAACATGACCAAAACAGGTGAGACGAAGTCTGGCCATCCTCCCTTCCAAGGAGCATCTCATTTGCACTTCCTCCAGGACAGATCTATTAGTTCTTTTGGCAGTCCATGGTACCTTCAGCATTCTTTGCCAGCACCACAACT